AAACTACACTCTCTTAAAAATAAATAAATAATGAACTATTGTTAAAAAAAAGAAAAGACTTCATTGAAAGGATATGAAAGGATATAAATCATCCCAAGGACTGGCATGTAGTGAGCTTTCAATAAATGCTAACAACAAATTCTACTAAAGATAATAATAATTGTAGAAACTAGTAAGCTCAGGAAACTTACACCAGCATTCCCCAAAGAGTGATTTTTCTTCTTCCTTTGCAGATACTGCTATTGATTTCTTTGTAAAACTCTTTTTCCTTGGAAAGTTTTCTGTGCTTATTTATCTCCCTTTCTTCACCTTCTCCTTTCTCCTAAATCCACTTCAGTTTTTTTGTTGTTGTTGTTGTTATTTTTGTTTTGTTTTTTTAAGTAAAAGCTTCGGGGCCCCTGAGTGGCTCAGTAGGTTGACCATCCAACTCTTGATTTTGGCTCAAGTCATGATCTTATGGTTTATGGGTTCAGGCTGCATGCCAGGCTCCATGCTGACAGTGCAGAGCCTGCTTGGGATTCTCTCTGTCTCCCTCTCTCTCTACCCCTCTCCCACTCATGTTCTCTTTAAACAAACAAACAAACAAACAAATAAATAAATAAGTCTTTATTGAAGTAAAATTCACATACCATAAAATTCACTCTTTTAAAGTGTTTTATGGTTCTATGGTTTTCTAGAATGTTCACAAAGTTGTACAACCATTATGGCTGTCTAATTCCAGAATATCTTCATCTCCTCCCAAAGAAACCTCAAGTCCATTAGCATTTACTCCTTATTTTCCCCTGGCAATTGGTAATTTACTTCCTGTCCCTATGGATTTGCCTATTCTGGACCTTTCATATAAATGGAATTAGACAATATCTGGCCTTTTATGCATGACTTCTTTCATGGACTGTAACTAATTTAGCATAATTCTTTGACTTAGCAGTTCTTCATTCCTTTTTATGGCCAACTCATATTCCATTATCTGGCTATACCACATTTGTTTATGGAGTTACTACTTGATGGACATTGGGTTGTTTCCTCTATTTGACTATTATGGCTAATATTGCTATGAATATTCATGTGCAAGTTTTTTGTGGACATATGTTTTTATATCTCTTAGGAATGAAATTCTGGATTCTATGGAAACCATGTTTAACTTTTAGAGGAAGTGTAGAACTAATTTCCAAATAAGTGATATCATTTTATATTCCCACCACAAGCATATGAAGGCTTTAATTCTCCATTTTCTTGCCAACTCTTGTTATTGTCTTGCTTTTTATTTTGTTTTAACTGTCATTCTGTTGAGTGTGAAGTAACATCTCAGTGTGGCTTTGTTTTGCATTTCACTAATGACTAATGATGCTGAACATGTTTTCAGATAAGTGTTTAGTTCCTCAATTTACAACACTGACACTGATGATTAATACCTCCTTAAAATCCCTTCCTCTCAGAGCTTTACATTTACCCTCTCTTGATTTGTCTCTTTCCTCAGTGTATCCTTAACTCCAGTCCTTTTTCTTTTTTCCCCAAACTTCAAATATTTAAGTGTCCCAATTCTGAATTTTTAGCTCTGCCCACTATGATTTTTCCGTAACACTTATCTTCACCTGAAATTAAGTTGTATATTTATTTACTTGTTTATTGTCTACATCACCCATTGGAATGTAGTTTAATGGGGGTGGGGACTTTGTCTTGTTAATTACTATATTCCTGGTTCCTAGACTAGCACCTGGTTATAAATATTTTTGCATGAATAACTATTAGAAAATGCAAATAGATGTTCTATAAATAAGGAGGTGAGACCTTCATTATTCAATAAGTTGCTTGGTTGCAATTGAACATAATTTAATCAAGCATATTTAATGTGGTTTTTCTCAGATACCTTAATACGTTAATAAGTTAATAAGCATTGTGAAATTTCACTTGACCATAGTAACTCTTTGGATGTAGACTAAGTTATAGATTTTCTGAAGAATTCTTCTAAATCAAGTAGCTAAACTGCTTGAAACCCTAGAAAAGTTTAAACTCTAGCAAAATATAAATCCTTGCACAACTTTGGAGTGCTTTATCATTAGAGGTTTTACTGGCACTTCAAGAAGTAAGTTGTGATCACCAAGGCTCAGTATGAACTTACCAAGGACAGGTTATGTCAAAATATCCCCATGTGTGCTGTCCATAGGGTTTTGTTTGTTTGTCTTTTTATCAGAGTGCCATTTTACTGGAAGGCCATGGCAAAGGCATTTCTTCACAACAGTGAGGTTTTGAGCTGGCTTTATCATGATTTCCCTCTTCTGAGAAGTTGAGTGGGTTGTCAGGATCTTGTGATCAGTCTGTCACTTAAGAATTTGTGGCAAAGATATCAGGCTAGGTTGAGGTCTGTGCCCTTGGGAAGAATCACCTACATAGTGAGCTGTTTGTTGCCATCAATGTCACAGTACATTCCAAGTGTTTACTAATGATCGAGCATGGCATTTCCAGGACTGGGTGATAACAGAGCTCATAGAGATAGCCCTGAACACTAAACCTAGGCTAGGATGGTAAAGAAAAATAGGCATGGATGAACCTGGGCCCAGAAGGCTCCCCTAAAAGAAAAGTTCACAGCCAGCTGTATTTCATTAGTGCACAACAACAGACACATCCCTAAGGATAAGGGATGACTAGAGTACAGAAAGCCAGGGGAGCATTTAAGCATTGGTCTTCCGTAATGCAATAGGGCAGACAAAACAGTGTGTAACCTTGGTGCCTCTGGTTGCATTTGACAGGAAAGAGGTCAGGAACCAGATGTATAGTCTAAACGAGTGCTTCTCAGACCATGGCCCTAGACCAGCAATGCCAGCATCACCTGTGAGTTAGAAATGCACATTTGGGGGCCCAGTGGTCTGTGTCTCACCAGGCCCAGGTTCAGGCTCAGGTTTGAGCAACAGCAGTCAAAGCAAGAGAAACAAGCTCTAGCAGCAGATAAACTAGAATGATGCCCCATACAAGGAGCTTCTTAAATATCTTCCTTGTTAGCGTGGGATCCAGTGCCTGAATGTGATCTCTACTTGGTCTGAAGGCTAAAAACAAAGGTAATGAAAACACATAAAAAATAAGAGTGATACTCCTATAGCTTCATGTGTTGAGTACTAATTATCTCCTAAGCAGCATGCTGAGCACAGGCTTAGCTTTGAATCCTCCTAATAACTAAGTGAGGTAGAGACTTGCACTGTTTGCTGCAGCTGTGGACACGGAGATATAGGCCCTTGTGAGGCAGGGGCTGCAGCCAGTAATTGTCGGGCCCAGGGTTTGCGTTGGGTGGTTTGACTGTACAATACTGCTCTGGAATACCCGATTATTACACATACAAGGGAGATGGTGTGTGGGTGCATGGATGAATAAATGGTTAGAAGAAATGAAGAAACGGGAGCAGGGAAGAAAGAAAGGAAGGGGGAAAGAAAGAAAGGTGGAAAGGAGAGCTGCAGGTTTGGAAGCAAGGGTTGAGTGAAGCCTCCTTCTAAGGTGGGCTATTTGCTTACACTGTAGCATTTTTCTGGTCTCACTTGGAAGTCAGCTAGCCTGTGTCCTTCAGCACATTTCAGCCTGGGCACATCCTCCATTGCTTTCTCCTAAGGCTGTATTTCATGGGTAGTTTGCAATTGATTTCTCCTTATTTGTTTCTCCTTGTCTCCGTGTGCCCACACAGTCTTTGTAACTGAAGTGTACGCTCACTCCAGTTGCTGAGCAATCTATGACTCCCTTCATCATTAACTGGAGAATATTCTGGCAAAAACATGTCCTTCATTGGGAATGGTGTGCTCAGGGGCTGATGTGAAGCTCCTCTGTGTTCTTCACCTTGGACCGCCTCCTTTCCTGCCTCTGCCTTAATAGCATATCATTTTCCCCCTTCCTTTTGCAGCAAAGCCACAGGGATACCTAATCCCCCATTCTCCAGAGGCCCTTTGGAAGCTCAGAGCCAGAACTCCATAATCAAGAAGGGGTGGGCGTGATCAGGGACAAAGTTTGATTCTTTGTCAGCCTCTCTGCATTCAGGCTTTTCATTTTCACATTCTTCCCTTGGGTTTGTAATAAACGCAAGAACATAGCTCAAGGGCAGAAATGAGGTTTAACTTTAGCAGAGGTACAATAGAGGCTATTTGGAAAGTAAAACTTTCAAATGGCAGTTTAGCCTTGAAGAATATATTGAATTAGATATGCAGTGTGCCTTGATTCATGATCTCTACATAATAGCATTGCTATGTATATTACCAGGATGCTTTCATAGGCTGGAGACACGGGCTGTTAAATAGATCAGCCTCACAGAATGAGCAGAAATGCTCATGAAGAGCATGGGGAGCAAGAGACACGAGACCTGGATGCCTGTACTGTCTCTGCCGCCTCCCATGGGGACTTGACTTCCCTGGGAATAGATTTCCTCATCTGCAAAGTGGTTATCAGAGTAGAACTTACTTCATGACATTATTCAGAGCAGTAAAGGAAATAAACACTAAGCATAGAGCTTTCTTATCATATGAAGTAAAACTTTAATAAGTGAAGACTATTTATATTACTTTTATATGATTTTTATTTGGAAACATGGATTCTGTAACGTGGCCCACAATCTTTGCTACCTTAACTTATTTGCTCTTTACTTACACAATTCTCTGTTGGCCAATTCTTATTTCTTGTCACTTTCAGAGTCACTGTGGTCACCTTTTAAACCATGCTGTCACTTCAAAGCACTGGCTAAATACAGCCAAGACTGACAGCTATGAATAATTCCACACACCCCCTAAAACACTCTGGCATTTCACTCAAATTCTCATATATGCCACCAAGTTGTTCTCTCTTGTTTTGTGTTTCTCTATTCTCCACAGATTTCAGATACAGTTACTGAACGTGAACATCATCTTCCTCTGAAAAATAATCCAGCAGGAACCAATGTGGAGTAATTGGGCTTCATGGGAGCATCACTGTTAAGTCTAGAAATATATGAGGAGATAATCACATTTCATTTCTTTTCTCTTGTACATTTTTAGCATGTTCACGTCCACGTTCTTCCAAGGAAGGCTGGAGACTTTCACAGGAATGACAGCATCTATGATGAGGTGAGTCTATTTCCTCTGATCTTACTATTTGATCACTGAGGCTGTCGGTATGATGAAATCAAGCTGATGAACTAGGTATCACCCTGGATATATGGTCTTAAGTGAGATTCCACCCAATATGACTTAGAAAGTGGCAGTAGAAGCCAATGAGCCAAGAACGGTCATTATGGGAACCAAAGGCAAATGAATCATAGTGATTTTCTTTTCCAAATGAAATGTGGAAGAAACCAAGTGTCTTTGTGATTTCTTCCCTGTCACTGACCAGGACACTAAATATTGCCTTGAAATATGGCCCAGAGTCTCTGGAAGAGAAAATCTGTAGTGCTACCAACCAATGGAAATCAAGCTGATTCATATATATATTTTTTAGTTAAATACTACATTTAACTTTAGAGACCCTTTGTAACTCAGCTTGTGTCTCCTAGCACCTATTCAAAGCAAAACTTTGAATTATTGTCAGCCAAAACTAGTTGGTTTGAATCAGTGCCACCCATGTATCATAAACATTTTAGCAGTTAAATGATTTCTGGAAATTTCCATTCAGAGATAGAAATGTGAAACCTCTACAAAGGAAGTATCAAGGTGATCTGGTCCTAAGACTTTATGTACCTGAGAAACCTCAGGGGTCCGTCTCACTCTGTGGGGTACATCACCTATAAGAGGTATTCTGGTATAAAATATTGGAAGATAATTTCAGTTTAACTACCCATTCTAGCCAGGGATGGGCAAATATATTCCCCAAATGATCAGGTGTTAGTGGTGCCCTGAGAAGCTTGGTTGGAAAGGGTTTTGAGGCTTTTCTGGATGAAACAAAGACAAATGTTGTGATTGATTAGCAATATCTACCACAGATGTCAAATAAGAAAGAGATGTCATTTTTGTCACCTATTTGATGCTCCTGTTCTAACCCCTGGAGAGCAATGTTTAAAATACATTTCTTAAGTTTGGTTGTTCATCATGGAGCTCTATCCCTATGTTTATCTCTACCTGGTTTTATATTTGTAGGGTTTTTATTTTTTTGTATTTATGTATCATCTAAAAAAAAAATATATATATATATAGTGTTTCTTTGAGGTAACTAGTATTAAAATGGCTACCCAGGCCCAGACAATAAAGACTGAGGGGTCATCAGTTAATGATGAGTCTCACAATTAATTTTTCTGGGATCCATTAGATTCTTTGAGGTGACTGGTGATCGTGCTTTTGGGCTGTCTTTCAGTATACTGTGCTTCCTGTTTTTTTCAACAGCTGCAGTAGGACTGTGCAGGGTAGAAATGCTCTAGTTACTGTCCCCTAAGTACTGGTTTTTGGACAAATTGCTGCAAATCTCAACCCTCCAGAGATCCCATCCCTAGAGATTCTGACCCAGTAGATTGCAGATTCTGGAATCAGAAATTATAGGAGCATAAGAAAGTGCCCAGGAGATTCTGCTGCATGGCTAGGTTTGGGAATAGTTTCTCCCAAATTTGTGCTTTCTCAAAGTTAGATTGTATGATATTGTAATTTGAGCTCATTTTCATCAGATGTGGAATGTGACTTGGAGTTAGTAAGGGCTTAGTTTGAGTTGGAAGAAAATCAGAATTATGGAGTAATTATAAAGTGATGCCTTTTTAAAAAATATGAGTACTGATCTTATTAGCATAAACTAAGGTTAATAAAATGTTGCCAAGTACAGGCTATTTTAATGAATAAATTAGCACATGATTTATATACAAGTGAATACGGCTAAAGTGTTATTAAAAGTGCTTGAAAACACTGTTTTCTTAGGCTGAACTGTCACCTTGAAATCTTATTTATATTCCAAATGCATTCATGACAGGAGCTATGGGGCTACATTTCAGCCCAGTTCGAAACACGATGTCCAACACTGAGGTTGGTGTGTGGCCTTTCTCTCCTCCCTTGCTCTTTTGCCCTTGTGTACAGTCTCTCACAGCATCTCTAGCCCCAGAGATGAGGCAGCACATGTTCCTGCCTCCTACCTATTAGGAGAAGCATCTCAAGAGAAGGGACTACTGTAAGAGTTAATTTTCTTTTACTTTTTCTTTTTTTTTCAATTAACTGGTAAGTTACATGCAGTATAGACAGCATTCACTAAGGGAGATGGTGGTATGAAATTACGAAGAGATTGAACTTGGGAACTGGCAGAATTAGGTTTAAAATCAAGTGCCACGTGCTAATTTTGTGAAATGGGGCAAGTCACTCAAGTTCTGTGTTTTAATTCTCTTATCTTTAAAATTGTGATAATTTCCTTCAAGAGAGCAGTATATGAAATATATGACGCACTGTACATGCAAAGCTTATTGCAGGACTTGGTACATACTAGGCATCTATTAATAGGTAGGTGCTTCTGTTCTTATTGTGATCATTAGTTTTGTTTTCAAAAACTTAGCATTTGGTGGGTAAATGGAGAACTTGGATTCGAAGTCAGGTCATTGGATGCTTCCATTCAACACTGTTTTCAAGGGTCAGACTTCCAATTTTCTCTCTACCTTTAACTGCTTATTCTCAGATTCATCTTCCTCTTTATACAAAGATAGTTTGAGTACATAACAAGATAATGTCTAGAAAGTGGTATAGGGAGCATGAAGCATTGCACAGGCATTATTGGTACAAGACATAATGTACATTAGGCTGAATGATCTTAATCAGAAATGATAGAGTGATGAGGTGCAGCATTCTTTATGCTGATGGGAGCACTCTCTCTAGATTATGCATCTGTCCCTGAAATACAACAAACAGACTGGTGTGGAGAATGGGGAGGGGGGAACAGGGACAGCAGAAGACTGGGCTTGATAAAATGTCATTGTGTTCCTACTGCTGCAGAAATAGAAAATGATACCTAAAGAAGCCCTAGGTTGTAAATTGGCTAAGAATATGGTGTTCTCCCTGGGCACTGTTTTAGGAGAGATAGTGACAAACTGTGGAGAGGGTTCACAGAAAGGTGATTGGGGTGGCAGAGTCTGGACACAGTCGTCTGGGGAGTAGTTGAAGGTGGGAATATTTTGTCTAGAGAAAGGAAGACTTGCAGAGGGAAGACAATGACAGGGTCACTGTTTCTAAATATATGAAGGACTGGTAGGTGGGGAAAGTATTAAATGCTCTCTGTGACTCTGGGAGTTGGGGGAGGGGAGATTTGGGGCTTTTAGGCTAAAAGGAGCCAGACATCAGCTCCGTATAACAACCGATCAAATTGATAGAAAGTGCTAAACACTTAACAGTACCGTGTGTGTGACCCCCTTTCCTGGATCCCTGCAAGCACAGATGGCCAAGATTCCTCAGGAGGAACTCTACATCCAGTCCTTGAAGGGATCCCTTAGTTCGATGATTCCTGTCTTTACAAATCTAGCCTGTTGGGCAGTTATCTTTATTTCTAGGTTAGGCATTTCTGTAGCAAATAGTGCGAGGGTTGTTGTTAGTATTACAGCATTTGGTTACTGACTAATACGACAAACTTTCTCTGTTGTTCATAGAAATACAAATATAGCTCTCCTCTGAATTATGTGAGACAGTGCTCTATTGATTTTTCTCTTTCTCAGCCTGTTTCCTACTTTTTTCTCCAGTTCATTGTTGCATATTGATGGTCCATGGGCTATGCTTGTCCCCTTATATGTATTTTATTTTGCCTGCAAAGTATTTCTTAATGAGTTTGAATGCTGTTACGCATGTCACTCATTCTTCATGCCCCTACATTCCTCACAACTCCCTGTCTCTTACCAAGGCGTTCTTCACATTTTTATGATATGTGTCGTCTGGCCACCAAAGGCATGGGATTTTGAGATCTGCCTATTTCATGGCCTACTCCTCTTCTTTCTACCACGCAAATGTTACTATTCTACAGGATTATCTATCTAGTCTACTATGCATGTAACTTCTCTGTACATGCATTTTACCTCCTTGGTTACTCATGTATAGTACTATGGCCTTGGGTAAGTTCTTCATCTTCAGTGCATCTTGAATCTCATTCTCTCTCCCTGCTTTCTTCTGTCAAAAAGATTATTCTAGTTCCCACCTGAAGGCCTTGGCACATGTTGTTTTCTTTGCCTGTCAACTAAAGTGACTTCATATCTTCCTCCGAATCTTAGCTCAAATGTCACCTTCTTGAAGAGCTCTTTTCATCAATCACCCCAACCCATCTAAGATCTCTTATCCTCTCTGCAACAATTTTATCATATTATTATGATTAGTTTCTTCTTAATTGTTTCCACACCAGAAATAATTCATTAGTTTAGTATTCAGTGCCTATGTTCCCAACTGCACTGTAAAGACTTGGGAACAAGGACCTAATCTGGCATAGAAGAGGTCTTCAAGAAATATTTTTTCAATGAATGGATACATGAGGGAATGAGGTATTGAACTAGAAGGATTGACATTTCCTACTACTTCTAACATAATTTAAAAGGAGAGAGTATCTTGCTTTTCAGGGGATCCATTTATTAACTCGTAGCTACACTGAGTAAGATTCTGACATGGTGATTTCAGCCATCTGAGGTTAATTTAATGGAAGATTTATGGAACAGGATCTATTGGTCAGAAATCAATGTGCACACAGCTTCACATTGCTGCACATCAGAAATATGGTGAATAATTATAAACCTTGTCTGATTGCTAACCAAGTCTGGTACACATGTGTCAAAGTTGATAAGTACCTTGTCTCCCCCCAAAACCTAGACTTGCGTGTCTGTAACAAGTACAGATGTGGGATTTGCCAAAAGCAGCCTTGAGAGTTCTCTTCCTTTCATTTTGACTTTGATAACCATCTCTTGAGATTATCATTATCTGTTCTTTCTCCAGCTTTGTGTCCCGGATTTGTCTTTGCTCATTTTGTTCACTAATTTATCTTCCCAGTTTCAGTCTCTTTCCACTCCCTCAAAGCTGAGTCCACACTGCACCCACTTTAAGACAAAATTTTTATGAGAAAGCCCTTTCCTTATTGTTTTCCATGCAGATCTTATTTGTCCATTGCTCCCAAACCATTTCTGTATCTATGTTCTTTAAATTTC